CAGGAGGCCTCCTTTTTGAGCCCGCAGGGTGGTCAAACTAGCCAATTATAGCATCAGAACTCTAAGCACCTGAGAGAGTGGGCACCTCCCAGAACATTGTTTGGTGCCACTCCCAACAGAAATACTCCAGGTGGACACCTTCAGCAATCAGGAGCTCCTTAGTTGCTCATAGCAAATCCCACCTTGGAGTTTACAAAGACTTATGGGTAGAAAAGCCACACAAAGTAATTTACTATACCACAGTACTATATCCCCATTTTATCAGAAAGTGAGACACAGGGAGTGACTTGCCTAAGGTCACATGACTAGTGGTACCAGGATTTGAACCCAGGCTGTGCAGCTCCAGAGCCTGGTGGTTCATCATGCAGTAGTCCTACCTTTTATAACTGCCCTCAACAGAAGCATTGGCCCATCTCTTCCACCAGGGATATAGTGTGTGTGGTAAGAAATATGAAATCAATCTTTTTTTAAGTCCTCTGTCTATTTCATTCTTTAGACCACTAACCCCCACCCACACATCCATGGAAATGCTGCTTACCTTATATATAGACTCTTCCCTGGCAAGAGAGTCATTGAAGATTGGGGCTTAAATGTTTCTTGCTGATCTATAATAACACATAAAATGGAAATTATATCAAGCAGGCAAGTCCCTTGATGGGGTCAGTATTCACTGTGGAGCCCAAGAGATTTCTGATGAAGAAACTTGTAGAGAGTAAGGGAAAGTAGAAGGGAGTATGTTTCTTGCCTCTTCGTGTGGGGCCTCTTGGTAGGAAGGTTGTCACCATTAGTTGACAACAAAGGGACAGAGATCTGAGTTTCCAGCTTTCTTGCCTGTGGCTCATATGTACATGAGTTTCTAATAATAAATGAGACTTTGTGAAGTCTGGCTTGATAAAATGTTTGCTCAGAACATGGAGTTGTTGGAAAGGAAACCTGAGTCGTCACTGCAAGGGGTAGAATAATACAGTTTAGAACTCAGTGGACAGGGAGTTGTACTGAGCCATGCAGACGAAGTCCTCGGTAAACTGGCAGATATCACCCCTCTGTTCTGATTCAGGTTCAAAGTGTTCATTGTCTGTGGAGGACTCAAATGGAGTCTCTTTTCTTACTCCATGATCTTAGATGTGGGGCTCAAGGCCTCCCTCTGCCCTTGTAGCTACAGTACAGTGACTTCCTCGTGTTTCATCTGCACTGTTAGGTTGAGGTGAAAACTCTAGAGCCCTGGTTGCTAAGTCCAAAGGAAGTTTAAATCACACTGGAGAAATATTTGGGGAAGAAATCCGGGGTTTAACGTCATTTTCAGTTCATAGCGTAATGTATCCGTGGTAGTCACTGGTGCTGACGATGTCAGACTGATGGATGATTGTCGATTCTCAGGGCTGTCAGTGGTGTCACATTGACAGCACATCCTGATGTCAAAATGTTTAATGGAAAGGTTGATGAGTTTCAGCCAAGACTGACTGACTGAATGCCATATTTGACAAGGAGAATTTACAGTTTTTCCCCCAGAGAAGCTTGAGTTCCTTGCACTCTAGGACCTGTTGATAGTTGGGAAGATAAGGTCTGAGGCCCATGGGTTAATGCCTGGGGATAATTTCCTTGTGTGAAGAGTGGGGTTGCTCCATTCCTCGGGGCTTCAGACAAGTATCAAAGGAGAGCAGCTGAGCTCCACTCAGGTTAGTAGGCCCACTCTCTGAGCCAAGTAAGTCCTGCCCCCTACTATATGCAGGTGCACCTGAGACCAGTAGGCTCCAGTGGATTGCATGCTGTCAACCTCTGGGGCTCACCTTCCACTGAGTCAGATTCTCGCTCTACACTGAGTCATTTCCAAAGGCTGTGGAGTTTATTCAATGACCCTAGCCTGCCTCCTCTTCTCTGATAGATTATTTTATTTCATCAAATGGATGGGGAAGGATTCAGACTGCAGAGAACAGTTTGTCGTTGTAAAATAAAAGGTGTCCATTATTTAGTTCTGTTTACCTGGTGTTTCTAGAGAGTGAGATTAATAACACTGGATTCTTTAAAAACCTTTTTGGTATGAGTGGAATACACATTGCAGGCTTTGCATTAGGTGGGTAAACAAGGAAAGAAGGGAAGGGAGGAGTCATAAAAGACTCTCAGGCAGGTAACTGCTGTGACCCAGCTTCCCAGAAGGTGAAGAGCTTTGCTTTTTAAAAGGTGTTGAGAACATAAGAAGTCCTTCTTTGTCAGTACAGGACAACATAATGAAGAGAAACATTTCCAGGTGAAAGCACTCCAGTTGTTGGTAGAGAAATCCTATTATGCAGGCATATTTTTTAGTCCTTTTTTGGGCATATTTGGGTGTTGGAGCGGGGGCTTTTGAGTCAGATTCAGGTCCTAGCCTTTGCCTCACCCCTTACCCAGGTATGTGACCTTGTTACTAAATCGTTGGCACCTCAATTTCTGTGTCAGGGAGGTGGCAGTGGCAGCGGATTGTGTGGGCATGTGAGTGGTTGTGAGGTCTTGATGAGATCATGATGCACATGCCTGCCTCTGGCCAGGCACGGGTGGGCTTGGGGCCCACCATATGGTATCTGCTGCCGCTGCTGTTCTATGGGCAGGCTTCTGCAGTCTCCCTTGACTGGGTCTGTGGCAGCTACCATGTCCCAGAGGCTGCAGTTATGGATATCCGGTTTACCCCATGGTGGTTGTGAACCAGGCCTGTCTTACTGGGCTAAAGGTGGGTAGTTTTTAAGGGATTCACATTAGGTAGCTGCTTTCCTTTTTCTTTTAAAAAAAAAAAAAGGAATAAAAGGATGAGTGATGATTTCCCATAGAAAAATCCTACATGCTGACTTGGTGGAGGCTGCTGTGTGTCTTTAATTTGTGTTTTGTTTCTCATGTCCTTACCATAATGGTGTTCCCGGAAGGGACTAAGATAATGTTTTCATCTGGATACAGAGCGTGGCATGGGTGGAGGATTTGAGAGAGATTTTGCCAGAAACAAGTCTCTCTTCTTTTTTTTTTTTTTCTTTTCTTTTCATTTTTATTGTGATTTGGGTGAAAGTTTACAGAGCATTTTCACTTTCCATGCAGCAGCTCACATACACTTTGTCTCATGACATTGTCTTTAATTTCCCACAATGCAACAGCTCCCCTCCCGCTTCCTCCCCATAGCTACCCCACTGTGTCCTTCCCTCCCATGCACTCCTGCCCCCCCTCAGCTGTCTCCCTGTGCATACACAGCCCTTCTGTTCTCCCATGATTGATCTCTCCAAGGAATGTGTCTACCTAATGTAAATGTTCAGCTCCTATGAGCTGGAAGCCACAGGAAGAAGTAAATCCTTTTAAAGGCTTCTTTGTGATTGCTGGTATATGGTATAAGGCTGTTGTTGGATGCTGTGGGATTCAGATTGCTGTAGTTAATGGAGCACTGAGGCTCAGTGTTCCATTAACTACGAGTTAGCACAGCTTTGCCAGGTGGGGGCGTGAGTCTCCTCCCTCCGGGGTGCTGTGGTGTGCCAGGTACCAGGGATAGAGTTGTATACTTGCTGATCTCTGTTACAGCTGTTGTGCCTAATTTGGAAAAGAGCTCTGCCGATAGAGAGGTTTTTGACATTGCAATGCCTTACGTAATGCAGAGGCTTCCGTCTTGATTCGTTTGTAGAGCAGATTGGTTTCTCCTTTACTGTGATGCTCTTTCTCAGTTTGCAGTTAGCTGTTTTTGGGAATATGTTGTCATTCTTCTTTAGTGGGGAGCAAGGCGAGGATCTGAAGTTGCCTCTCTCAAAGGAAGATCACAGCTTGGAGATCTAGGGCCCCAACTTCACCTTCATCTGCATCTCATCCTACCTTCAGGTGACCACCTGAAAGAGTTCTTGACATATATCTGTCTTCCTGGGCACTGTTGTTGTTGTTGTTTGCCGTCGAGTCGGCCCCGACCCATAGCGACCCCTCCTTGGGTTTCCGAGGCAGTATCACTACGGAAGTAGGATTGCCCAACCTTCCTTCCGAGGAGTGGCTGGTGGGTTTGAACCGCCAGCCTTCTGGTGAGCAGTCAAGTGCCTTAGGCACTATGCTACCAGAGCTCCTTCCTGGGCACTAATGGGCAGGATATGTATCAGAGGTCCACTTAGCATTTTGAAGGCCCTTTCTTCAGGTTGGTCGTTGTCTCAGCTCATCAGTGGAGGAGGGTTCTCAGTCCTTCAGATGATCTTTGTACTCTAGTCACAAAGATCGGGAACCTGGTGGAGACTTGTTCTCCTGCTCTCCGACCATGATCATTGATTTCTTGCTAGAGAAGAAGATGTACCCTCTTCTGGGCTTAGTTGATGTATCTACCTATAGCTTTATTCTGACTTTTTCTAATGCTTGCAGTTTTGGAGGTGAATTTGTATATGATTAGGTCAGATTTTTATTGTCATGCTTGGTTTCATTTTTGTATCTTGGAATGGTAAGATATTTTAGACTTTGTTGTTACTTGGCTACAAATACCAGTTTGTGGATACTTGTGGCAAGAAGAGCAGAAGGACACCTGGCTTTACTCCCTCCCATAGGGTCTTGTCATGCTGCACCTTCAGCCCTCTGACACCTGGTGGCATCCTCCTCCCACAGTGGCATGCAAATGGCACACAGGCAAAGTTCCTGCCTGTGGTTCCTTCATTCAGCAGCAGCAAACACTTTCTGTCGTGATCTGAAAGATGATGCCTGGAGTCCCTACTCTACTCTCTGATGGGGGCCGAGGGATCTGATCTCCTGAGGGCTCCGCACTGACCATGCACAAAAGCTCAAGCATCCCCTGCCACTTTTGTGATCAGACCCAAGTTAGTAAATGGTCTTTGGGCAAATGAAGTAAAACCTGTGAGAGCTAGAACTCAACAGGGCTGCCTTGTTTTTTCAGGTTTCCCTAGTTTTCTGCCTTTGACAAGTTACAGTCTTACCACTTTTCTATCATTTATTATCTTACTGCCATTCAGTTGGCTCCAACTCATAGTGACCCCTCTGGTTTCCGAGGCAGTATCACTAAGGAAGTAGATCACTCAGTTTTCTTTCCGAAGAGTGGCTGGTGGGTCACATATTACAGTGGAAAATATTTGCATTTTCCTTCTGAAGGTTTCTGCTTTACATGGGTTCTGGGTTTTGCAGTTTTCACTATACAGCATTTAAGCCAGGTTTTAAGAGTAGTTGTCTGGATTGATTTTTCAGATTCATATCTTGCCACTTTGTTTTCTATGTAGCCTCAATTGACCCTGGAATCATTGTGGTGATAACTCTGGATAACACCTACCTATCTGCTCAGTCTCCCTCTCTTTCTTATGAGCCAGTAGAACTGTGCATTTTTTTTGTGCACATAGCTGTTGTCGTGCTTCAAGGATACAAATTGATAAATGTGTTTGCTATTGAAGTCCCTGCAGCTTTACCCAATTATGAAAGTTAAAGCATGCACAAGTGCTTATTAAAACATGCACATACACTTACTATGCAAGAGACATGGCTTAGACGGGCTGGGTGCCTGAGGGGTTGGCATAGGTGCAGGGTGTGCTAGAGGCTCAAGGTGAGAGTACACCTGGGAGGAGGGGTGCAGTAGGAGAAGGAAAACAGGGTTGAGAGTTATCAGAGGAAGGGCTGTGGACGCCTGTAACAAGAGTTGCTCTTGAGCCAAGTGCTTTTGGGATCTGGGCCTAACTGGTAAGTAGGCTTGGTGGGCTTTGTGGAGGACTTGGCCCTGGGCTTGGCTTCATTCCTGCTGGAAGTTTACTTTGTTTCCATTTTCTCTGTGGTTGTGGTCACACTATGGATGTGTTCTGTGGCTATTGTTGCCCAGTATAGTTTAGTACTATAGTGGACTGGGTACAAGTTTCTTCTACCTAATGAACAGCTGCAAAGAAATTCTTTGAAAGGTGACACGAAGGATGGTTTTAAACACATTAAACAGTAACTGGATAAGGATGCAGTAGTGTTTTTTTGTTTTGGACGTGTTGAATGTGTGTTGGGAGCATTTCTTTTCCTGAGTCTTTGCTGTCACTTGGTCGCTTTCACATCCAGTTTTCATTTCAGGTGGGTCTAGCTTGATGAGCATGTTCCACTCACAGCTCATTAATTAATAGTCACAGCACCACACGGAATGACTGCTGTTTCTAGGCTATCACTGTAGCCACAGCTTTCATTTTCTAAATGATAAATGTCAGTGTTGGTTGGATGTGGGTGGGCAAGTGAGTGCAGGCTGTCTTCTGGGCAGGAATCCTAGAGGCCTTAGCTTCCTCCTCAGGGGAGACGGTGATGCCTCGGCCCTGAAGAGCTGGCCTAGCTTCCGCACACTGCCACCAACCGGAGGTTGCTGGCCTCTCCTGCACCCTTCTTGCTCTGACTTTCTAAGTACCTATCATGGATGCTCATGGGCTACCAGATCTGCACCATATCCCAGCCTTGGGGCCCAGCACCTAGGAGCCTTGTAGTTCTCCAGGAGAATGAGCTCGTATGTGTGTGTGTTTCTCAAACCTCTCCCCATTCCCTTTTCTCCCTCCCCTTGTCTTAGCAGTAGTGTTCCTTGTCTGGATTCTATAATAAGCACATTTCTATTACCACAGAAAAATTTAGCTAATTGTTTTTCCTTCCTGATTTCCATAGAAATCCTAAGTAATGCATTGAAGAGAGGAGCGATCATGGCAAAGCAGGGAGGAGGTAGGAAATATATTTTGTCTGATGTTTCAATTATTTATTTTTTAGAACAGGCTGTTATTACAGCAGATTGTAGAATGCAGTGGTTGAAATGTATGCGCTCTGAGGCAGACCACCAGTTGGGAACCAGTTCAAACTCTTCCTAGCTGTGTGGCATTTGGCAAGTTACTGAACCTCTCTTTTTTACATTCCTCATCTATAAAATGGGGATATACTAGTACCTACCTCAAAGGGTTGTAGGGAGAATGAATCAGTTAATGCGTATAGCAGAGTGCCTACATAAGTGCTGTGTGTTCGCTATTGTGATTATTTTCATATATATATGACTTGAGGGGCTTCTTGTTTTCCTTATTCTCCTCCAGAAGTAAATTTTTCCTTTACCCAATTACGAAAGTTAAAGCATTCACAAGTGCTTATTAAAACATGCACATATACTTACTATAAAATTTAGAAAATAAATGTTTGAAATCCCACTGCCCAGTGATGAATGCTGGAAGCATTTTTGTATATCCTACCATTACTACACATTTTAATAGGCTGCTTAGACCAAATGTACTTCTCAGGCCAATGTTCCCTTGTGGCCCTGGGGTGATGGCTGAACTAGGCTGTTTTTAGACCCCTGAGTCGCCATTTTTTCCTAGTCTGCTGCTGCTGTTAGCACCTGGGTTTCAGTGTCATTTTTCATGCTGTAGGGCAAGCTCCCTACCCTCTTTGGGTCTCTTACTTTTTTCTTTAGTGAAGACATTAGATGGTCGCTGAAAATCTTCTGCTCTGAAAGCCTACGGATATTAAAAGTTGAGTCTTTTTTTTTTTTTGCCACTTGGTGTATGCTCTTCCTCAGCCCAGGACATGGGCACAGAGAAGCAGAGTGGCCCTGCCAGGTCCCCACATTAGTCAGAGTCAGACAAAAGAGACCCTGCCAGTTCTCCTCTTCTGGAATTGACATCTTGGCCCAAGTCAGCTGTGGGCTTGACAGTGCCAGTTCCAATGGCAGTGGTGCTGAAGCTGGAGCGAGTAAAGCAGTAGGGCTCTTGCCTTTGGTAAAGGGGGCCTCCCTGACCTGCCTGCCAGCATGTGTCCTGCCTGAGCTGGGGGAGCAAGGGACCAAGGCCAGGCCTTTCTCAGAACCCTCTACAGGGCCCTTGACATCTTCCTTCCAGAGTCAGCAGCATCTGTACCAGTTGGCTGCTTTCCCTGACAGGAAGGGTCCCTAGAAAGTTGGCTTTTGTTCATCTGTGCACAGCACCTATGCAATGGTGTATCTATTGTCATCTTTTCTTTCTTATATGGCTGTGTAATAGCTTCTCTGTGCCCTGAAAGTGCTGAGGACCTACAGCCCAACTGGCCACCAGCAAGACTTTTTAGAGGGACAAGTTGGAGCAGGATAAAAGTTGGAAGTGGCTTTGGATTGTCCCCTCCATCACACTGGTGTCCATCTCAGGGTGGGGTTTGCAAGCCTTGCCCCTTGAGAACATTTAAGGAATTAGTGCCCGTAACTTGCTCATAAAGCTGGCACTAGAGAAGCAACTTGGGGAAACATTGTTGGCACAAGTCCTCTGAAGGGTTTTTTCTTATTTAATTTTGTCTTGGAAGTGGCTCAGAAGTAGGAAGAGTGCTGTCAGGATGCCCCTGTCCTCACTGCCCAGTTTTAGCTGCTGTTGGGCTGGGAGGGTGGCTGAATGGGGGATTACTGTGGAACATGATTCCTGGCCAAAGCTGGGCCTCTGCAGCCTGGTTCCATCTTCATGAGATGTGTCCCTGACATCTGCTTGTGTTTTGTGGCCCTGTTCCAGGTGGAGGTGGAGGCAGCGTCCCTGGGATCGAGAGGATGGGCCCCGGCATTGACCGCATCGGGGGGGCCGGCATGGAGCGCATGGGCGCAGGCCTGGGCCACGGCATGGAGCGCGTGGGCTCCGAGATCGAGCGCATGGGCCTGGTCATGGACCGCATGGGCTCAGTGGAGCGCATGGGCTCTGGCATTGAGCGCATGGGCCCGCTGGGCCTTGACCACATGGCCTCCAGCATCGAGCGCATGGGCCAGACCATGGAGCGCATTGGCTCTGGCGTGGAGCGCATGGGTGCCGGCATGGGCTTCGGCCTGGAGCGCATGGCCGCGCCCATCGACCGCGTGGGCCAGACCATTGAGCGGATGGGCTCTGGTGTGGAGCGTATGGGCCCTGCCATCGAGCGCATGGGCCTGAGCATGGAGCGCATGGTACCCGCAGGCATAGGGGCTGGCCTGGAGCGTATGGGCCCTGTGATGGATCGCATGGCCACTGGCCTGGAGCGTATGGGCGCCAACAACCTGGAGCGCATGGGCCTGGAGCGCATGGGCGCCAACAGTCTCGAGCGCATGGGCCTGGAGCGTATGGGCGCCAACAGCCTGGAGCGCATGGGCCCCGCCATGGGCCCAGCCCTGGGCGCTGGCATTGAGCGCATGGGCCTGGCCATGGGTGGCGGTGGTGGCGCCAGTTTTGACCGTGCCATCGAGATGGAGCGTGGCAACTTTGGAGGAAGCTTTGCGGGTTCCTTTGGTGGAGCTGGAGGCCATGCTCCTGGAGTGGCCAGGAAGGCCTGCCAGATATTTGTGAGAAATGTAAGTGGCTCTTCTCTTCGGGTACACACCGGGGTGTTCAGCACAAGGGGAAAAGGGAAGCAGGCCTTCAGAAGGGGAGCTAAATGGCAAAGTCTTGCTAGTGGGGCAAGGAGGGACTGGTCCCTTAGGACATTTGAGTGCAGTGGGTTCTGTTAGAGCATTGGCCTTCCTGAATGAACCAGGAACCCTAGTTTCTTGATCCCCTTGATTTGGAGAGCCTGTTACATTTTGACCTGATGATTCAGAGGGAAAATGGCTGTAACAGTTATTTGGACCAAATTGGCCACCGTCAGTGGTTCTGGGGTTGCTCCCTCAGGCTCTTGCATTTTCTGCTTGCTGTTGGCGTCATGTTTCCACAGACAGACAGCACCATGGGCTGTGGATTGGCCAGCTAGCTAAGAACCCTGTTCTAGATAGACTTGCTTTGTTCTGTACTGATTGTCTCAATTTGAAGGTTCGCCGCACACATACATATTCTTTGTAATAGGAATCCTGAAAGTTGTCCCCAGGGCCATTGTAATGTTTACCTGTCTGGTTTGGGGGAATTTCACATCAATCTCTTTTTTTCTCCTCAGCTCCCATTTGATTTTACATGGAAAATGCTGAAAGACAAATTCAACGAATGTGGTAAGTGTTGAGGAGAGTTTTCTGGATGCTTTATGTGTGTGTGTGCGTGCCTTCACCAGCCTGGGTTTTTGGTGATGCCATTGTGCAGAGTTAAGCAGTGGCCCCCTTCTTAGTCAATGCAGCGACTTCCCGTCATCCAGAGGGAGGATGGGTGGGCCTTGCCATTTTTCTGCCTGTGTAGCTTTACAAGCAGATGACCAAGTTTTCTGTGTGTGTCAGACACTTCCACTTGCGTCCCCACCTGTCCTTACTTTTCTTGGCTCTTGAATCTACTACGGTTCCTGAAGGAGGCAGTGCAGCTCCATCATACAGAGGTGCCGGGCAGACTCATGGTTACATGGCTTCTGAGTGACAAAGCTAAGCAGACATCCAGGACAAGTGCCCCGAGAGTGCTTACCACCTGATAGGTGCCAAGGGTGAGGTTGTTACCTCTGGGCCATGGCTGCCTTGTGTTGTAAGAGTACTGGGCAGCCTCCCAGGAAGATGAGGCGGTCATCTTTCCCTGCTCTGTTGAGTGAACCCCATGCTCATCTCACCCTAACCATGGGCACGGGGAGATGGCTAGATCCAGGCTTCCTCAGTGTTGTCTCATTTCCCATTTCAGTACTGGCTCAGATTTCACCACTATTGCTGCTTCTCTCTAGTTCTTCTCTTGGAGTAAGCTGTTGAGTCATTACCTTCCCTCCCTCCCCCACTCCTCCTTGCCCACACCGGGGCCAGGGTGTCCCAAAAGTCTCATTGAACCCTGCTGTTCTCCCTGTCTCGGAGGATCCTGGAGGTGCCCCTCTCCCTTCAAGGGCAGGTCCAAACTCCAAAGCCCTGTTTTCCTCTGTCATTTCCTGGCTTGGCACCAGGAACTTCAAGTGCTATAGCCATCATAGGCCAGGTAGATGCGTGCTGTCATGAGCAGGCCTTCCAGGAGCTTGTGCTTAGATTACTTCAGAACTTTCACCCCAGAGGTCCTCTCAACTGCAGACCCTCCCACAGGCAGAGTTCATGGTTCTAGAGTTCATGGTTCTAGTGGCCAGCTCCGTCTATACCATGCTGTTTACTTCCTGAAGCAGAGCCCTTAGCTTCTGCAGCTCTTCCCCTGTAGTCTGCACCCGCAGTGCCTGACACACAGCTGGATGCTCCGTAGATGCTTCAGCAGGCACAGCCAAGCCACTGGCTCATGGCCGCCCGCTGTCGATCTGGACAGCTCAGAAGGGGCAGGCGTTACTGGCGTTGCGATGTGCATTGTGGTTCGGTGTGGATTGCAAACCAAGCCTCTGGAAAGTTGACTTGTTTGCCTTCGCAGACCCCATTATGTTAACCTTCTGGTGTGTAAATGATCTTAAAGCACCAGAATGCCGATCACAGACACCACCAGATTGTTCCAGCAGGTGACCTGGACTGAGGGAGCCCAGTGTGGCTGTGCCCTGGTTTCCTCATAAATTGTGACCTCTTCTCCCTTCCTTTGTCCAGGCCACGTGCTGTATGCTGACATTAAGATGGAGAACGGCAAGTCCAAGGGCTGCGGTGTGGTCAAGTTTGAGTCGCCCGAGGTGGCGGAGCGGGCCTGCCGGATGATGAACGGAATGAAGCTGAGTGGCCGAGAGATTGACGTGCGAATCGATAGAAATGCTTAAGCAGTTGCCTTTTTTAAACATCGAGACCAGACCTCTGAATTTGTATTTTTTCTTGTTAACCATTTTAATTTGTTGGCTGGATGTATAAAGATGTTTAAAAAATTCAGTTGCTTTTTGGGGGCATTTGAATTACTTTTTTAATGACTGGGGTTCCATTTGACTGTTTGCATTGAGATTGCAATGTGCGCAATTTTTTTTGTAGTTGTGGCATCTTGTTGACATCAAATATGACTTTGATAATAAATACCAGTTCCTGAAAGCTGCATGCTTGTGTATTTGTGTTCTGGGGCCCCCACCTAAGGTTTAGAAGCTCAGGCTGTGGTCTCAGTTCTCCCTTTGTCCTCATGCTGTCTCTCTGTGGCCCTGTTAGGGGTTGGTTGTGTTCCCAGGCCCATTGGGAAGGGCCTGTGCTGTGGACACTGCATCTCCATGGTCTTTGTCTCTAGTGTGTGAGGATAGTGTACTTGGTGGCTTGGGACCACCCCATTCCCTCCTTATACACTCATTCAGGTATTCTGGGGGAACAAAGGCTTGCTGCAGCCTGGATTTTCTTTGTGAAGACACACCAAGTGGGGGGGGAGGGGTTGGAGTGCACTTTGTCCCATCAGGCTCAGGCTTAGCCCTCTGCACAGATGCTGGTGGAATCAAGTCATACGCTGACCTGGTGTGGATCTCCCAGGCTACTCTGCTCAGACGTCTACAGCCTGCTGTTCCTGGGTGTATGGCAGCTCAGAGCGTGGGCCGTGGCCACCCACCCACATGCACCTCCAAGCTGCCTGGTTTATGACACACTCTGCTCCTGTTGTTCCCCAGCTGCTGGCTGTTGCCTTGGCAGAGGAGAGTGGTCACAAGGAGCATGCACACACAGACCCTGCCACCCTGGAAGTCTGGAGGGGGAGTTTCCTTTCCCCTCTCACCCTTCCAAGTGTTTCTTACCCAGATCCCAGGAATGAAGACTGGGGGTTGGCTATACATGATGTTGTAGGGCACCGGGCAGTCTAGCCAGTTGGCAGGCAGGGAAAGGAAAGACATGAAGCGAGGCTGGCTTTCAGGGGCTTTATGTGGTCTGTGTCGGAGTGGCTAGAGAGCCTGGGCAGCGCCCACTGCTGAGCTGGGGTCCTGCCGCCGGGCTGACGGCTGGGTTGATGGGTTAGTCCCAGGCACTCACACCTGCAGCCCTTACTGTCCCTGGGGCAGTGGCTGGCTGTCCAGAGGGTCTGCAGAAGAAGCATGCTTTCCAGTGACCCCTACCCCTGGGGGCTGGGGGCTGGACCCCTCCCACACCACTGCAGTCCATTCCGACCTGCCCTGAGCGTCAACATACCCCAGAATCCGACGTCATCATATACCTCCGTTTCCCTAGCAGAAAATACATAGGGTCAGCAAGAGTTACCCCATCCCATGGCACCCCCACCCCCACCCTGCAGGGCTAGCACTCACAGGGGGAGCAGAGCTGTCCTGGGTACGTAGCCATCTGCAGAGAGAGTAGGCAGAGGTGAGTGCCCACGGCCCGTGGCGCCCGCCCCGGTGCAGCCAGCTCACTCACACTTGCCCTTGGCGTCTCGGCACAGCATCTCCTCCTTGCTAGTGAACTCGATGACCTCCAGGATCTCCCCGCGCCTGATGCCCAGGTGTTTGCCGCCTCCGCGGCGCGTCTTGGCATTGGGGTCAATCATCATCCGCGTCTGGATCACAATCTCCCCCTCAAACTGAGGGGGCAGGTGTTAGGGCTTCTGCTTGGGCTGCCATCCTGGGGACCTGTTCTCTTTCTGAAAAGGGGGTTCCCGGGGCTCCAGATGACTGAACCCTAGCCCACCCAAGACCTCAGTGAGGCTTGGGGTCCAAACCTTGAACTTCTTCCGGAACTCTCTCTCTGCTTTCTCCGCCTTCCTCATCTGCTTCAGAGATTTCAGGTCAGCAGGTGGCAACTGCTGGGGCTGAGGGGCTTTCTCCTTCCTGCTCGCCCCCACGGAGTTGGGGTGCTCATGAGCAAGATGCGCCCCGCTCAGGCCTACCATCCCCTTGCCCCAACCGCAGCCCCACCCTGTGCTGTCCCTGGGGCCATGCTACCTGAGCTCCAAGTCCTGTGGAGGCCGCCTGGGGCCCTGCTGTGGAGGGGCTGCCACTTCATCTGGGGAAGGCGGGTGCTGAGTCAGGGTGGGGTCCCCCAGAACCCCGAGCCTCTCGCTGCCAGCCCCCAGCCCACCCTCCAGTCCTCTCTGAGGCCTTCTTGGGGGCCATCAGTCCTGGCAGGGGCTGCCTTCCGTTCTAACTCCTGCCACGTAACAGTGCTATGAGAACTCCAGTCCCTCACAGCAGCCTTATGATAGCAGGTGCCAGACTGTCATTCCCACCTTCCTGAGGAGGCACTAAAGGCTCGATCTACTTCAGTAAAGATACTTACTGCCTCAGAAACCCAAAGGGGGTCAGATTTGAGTCAATGGCAGTGAGTTTGGTTTTGAGGCAAATGAGTCCACCTTCGAGAGAAGGGGCTGATGGTGAGACTCGGGCTGGCATAGCCGACGATGAGACTGGACTGTGAGTACACGACCAGCTTCTGGGCAGGAGCCCTGCTGGCCTCCAGCCGGAGCCTCCTGAACACAGTGAGGAAGGGAACCAGACGTGCAGCCCAGCACGGCTTCCGTGCCACTCGCAACACTTCCAGGCCAGCAGTCTGTGAAGGCGTGCGTGTCTGAGGGGCCCAGCTCCCAGGGAGACCAAGACTGGGTCCCTCTCCTTTCTAGCCCTTACGTCTCAAAGCAACATCTTGGTGGTGAGGGCCCAAGTTCCTAGTTGCACTCTACCGGAAATGTGCACGGCCTGTTGGCAGCACAGCCCTCATTCCTGACAGGTGGAGGTGGCCGTGCTGCCCCTCGGTCCCAAGGCTGTGAACATTTACTCTTTTCTGCCCACCTTCTCCTGCACCCCTTGTAGGGCAACCAGAGTTCCGAGCTGGACAGTCAGTGGTATAGGATGTTGGTCCCAGCACGGAGCTGTGAGTACAACAACCTGGGCTGTGCCACTCGGGGGATCCTGAAGGCCTCCAAGAAGCCCTCTGACTTCTCTGGGGACATCCAAAGTCAAAGTCTACAAGCCTGCATCACTGTGATGGGAAAGCCAGGACCAACACTAGGTGCTTCTCAGTCTCCAGGACCGGTCCTAAGACAAGACCTGGAAGGCAGAAGTCTGACTCGCTGGCCTGACTGCAGGGACTCAGATCATCTTGTTCTGGAAGGTTCTGTTCAGTGCTGGGCTGTCATGCCACTTTCTTATGTGCTTCCCACAGGCAGAGAGACCCAACAGGCATGTGCCTGCCCATTGCTGAGCCACTCTGGCCTTGACCTGATTCTTAACCACATGCTGTCCCCAGCCTCAGCCGGAACACTGCCCCATTGGAGGCTCTTGCCTCTTCCAGGGGCAGACTGACAGGCTCTGACATACCAGGGCCCCACACTGCACCCCACCCCCATCCACTCATGCCACTGGAAGATCAGGTTGAGCTGTGGCCTGGCCACTTGCAACCCTGTGACCCTGAGCAGATCACCCTCACGTCCTGCCTTCCCCGTGTGGCCTGCTCAGTCCTCCAGACAAGCCCCAGCAGTTACTGCTCTGGGTCAGGCAGGGTGGGAGGGGGACACATGTTCTGGCTCTCCCTTGCTGTGAGAGAACAGACCAGAAAAGGCAAGCCAGCCTTTGGGACCATCTGTGCAAACACAGGCCTGTGCAGCATGTCAGGGGAGAGAGCCAGGGATGTGGCCGTGGGCAAGTGGTCTTGGCTGGGATGACTCCAGGGCTGTGAACAGCCCCCTCCTGTCAGCCACATTCCCACGCGCAGGCACCCAGACCCAAGCCACAGCCTCCACAGCTGCGGAAGCAGGAGGGGCCCTGCCAGGAAGCTGTGTGCTAACAGTGTGTTGCAAGCAGCTCCTGGAGGAGCCCAGGAAAAGCAGAAGAGGCCCAGGAGGGGCAGGAGTTGAGGCGTCTGCTGTGTATCAGGACCTCAGGCTGGTGGGGGGAAAGCACTTGCACCCCAGGGGCTGTGGGGAGACCCAGAGGAAGGGCACAAGGAAGACAGCCTTCCCAAAGAGGGGGCGGCCTGGGAAATCTGGGAGCAGAAGCTGCTCTGCTTACTGGCCAAGTAACTTCTCAGATCCTCAAGCCTCCCCATCTGTAAAATAGGGATGGTACTGTCCTGGGAAAGAGCCCTGGTGGTGCAGCGGTTATTGCTGTTAATGGCTGCTAACTGAAAGGTCGGCGGTTCAAACCCACCCAGCGCCTCCAGGGGAGAAAGACTTGGTGACCTGCTCCTGTCAAGATTGTTGTTGTTGTTGTTATGTGCCATCGAGTCGGACTCAACTCATAGCGACCCTTCCTTGGGTTTCAGAGGCAGTATCACTACGGAAGTAGATTGCCCAACCTTCCGTCTGAGGAGTGGCTGGTGGGTTTGAACCGCCAGCCTTCTGGTTAGTAAGCAGTCAAGTGCCTTAGGCACTACACCACCAGAGCTCCCATGGAAGCAGACGGTCAGGTCTTTTTCCCATAGAGTGGCTATTGGGTTTGAACCGCCAACCTTTCCATTAGTAGTGGAGCACTTAACCATAGCGCCACCAGGCCTCCTTCACCTACCAACAACAATTGCCTTCGAAACTGCTTACATGGAAGCCATCTTTGTTACCGTGCGAGGCTGGTGAAGGCACCGAGAGGCAGAGGTGGGCTGGAAGCACAGGCCGTTGTCCCGCTTACCAGAAGCAGAGACTTGGAAGATGCAAAGAAGGGCCCTTTGGAGCCCGGGGAGGGAGGCGGGGCAGCCAGTGCCTTGGGGCCTGGGACCTGAGACCGGGGCAGGACAGAGCAGCCCTGCTCCTGCCCAGCCTCTGAATTCCACGTCGGGGTCCTGCCTCACCACCCCCCAGATACACCAGGTCTACAGTGGAACCTGCATCCATCTTCTCCAAACCTTTCGCATTCCTGTGTCCCCAACTCGGGGAGGGCTCCACCGTGCCCCCAGGCACGAGGCTGGAACCTGGAGACCCACCGCAAAGCCCTGCATGCTGCTGCTACCCCTGCCCCGGGGCCCGCCGTGCCGCCTAGCCTCTCTCTGGCTGTTGCCTGCTCGGCTTGCCTTCCAGATCTTTCTGCGAGGGCCCCCTGCTGCTTCCTCCCTGTGGCGGCCAAGACGTGGGTGGTTGCTGGACCGTCACAAGAGCAGGCAGAAGATGGCCTTGCCACAGAGGTGCCCAAGGTGCCTGGGCCGTCTGGGTCTGGCCAGGGGCAGAGGGAGGAGCCCAGGGCTGGCCTGCACGAACCTCTGCTCCCCAGCCTGGGGACCTCTGGCTCCACGTCGTCATAGAGTTCGTAGAGCTCCTCCGAGTCCCTGGAAGGACACCTGAGCTGAGGGCCGTGTCCACCCACCGCCGCACCTGCCCCGGGGCCCACACTCACTGGGGGATGGCTGCAGGCTGTCGGGCGTGGGAGTGGAGCGCAGCTGCGGAGCGGCTCCTCTGCAGGGCTGTGGAGGGGAGAGTGGAAGGAGGCCGTCCCACCCAGAGCTTCAGCCCGCCCTCCTCCTCCCTGCCCAGCGCCACCCTGACCCACCTGTGGCTGAGGCCGCTGAGGGTCTCCAAAAGCTCTGGATGTCCGGGGGGCCTGGGGGCAGTGGAGGCTTGGGAGGAGGGGGTCCCAGGCTGCAGGCAGGGGGCAGAGGCCTGCGCCGGGGTGGGTGGCCTGACCTCACGCCTCCACTGTGAGCCAGGGCCCCCAGGCGCCGCTGCCCTCCTAGAGGGGTCCTGAACCCAGGGCTGAGTGGGAACCTGGCACCAGAGCTGCCCGTGGCAGTGGGCAGTGAGCTCTCTGAGACCGAGCCAGGGAGTGGGGGCTTTCGAGGGAGGTCACCCAAGAACTCGCCTTGGGGGTGCTTCCGAGGCAGGGCGCAGGCCTCGGGCTGCGACAACTTGCGGGGTAGCTTGTGGCCCTCGGGCTGCAGGAACTTCCTCGGCAGTGAGTTGAACTCGGGCTCCGAGGCTGTCCTGGGCAGGGAGCCCAGCTCGGCCTGCGGGGCTTTCTTGTGCAGCACATGGAGCTCCGGCTGCTGCGGCCTCTTGGGGAACATGCTGACCTCGGGCTCTGAGGCTATCCTGATCAGATCGCCGAACTCGGGCTGCGGGGGCTTCCTGGGGCGGTCGCCACACTCGGGCTGCGGGGGCTTCCTGGGGTGGTCGCCCTTTTTGGGAAATGCACCCAACTCGGGCTTTGGGGAGTGAGGGTGGGGCTCACTGTGTTCCGGCCTCGAGGGTCCCATCTGCGGGGCCTCACTGAACTCAGGCTGTGGCAGGGGTTTCTTAGGGAGACTGCTGACCTGAGGCTGCAAGAGCTTGCGGGGGTGCACAACAGACTCAGGAGGTGGGGGCTTCTTGGGAAAGGTCCCAAACTCGAGCTGTGGGGGCTTCAGAGTGGCCTCACTGGACTCGGGTGGCCAGAGCTTCCTGGGGGGGGCACTGAACTTGGGTTCTGAGGGTGGCCTGGTGGGGTTGCTGGGCTCCAGCTGCAGGGGCTTCCGAGGGGTCTCGCTGAACTCGGGCTGCAGGAGCTTTTTGGGAAACGAACAGGTCTCCAGTGGTGGGAACTTCTTGGGGCCTGCATTGAAGTCAGGCTGCGAGGGTTTTCTGGGGCGATTGGTGACCTCGGGCTGCGAGGCCTTCTTGGGGTGCTCGCCTGACTCAGGCTGCGGAAACTTCTTTGGCAATTTGTTGAACTCGGGCTTCGGGGGTTTCTTGGGGAGCTCACTGGGCTCAGGCTGGGAGGCCTGGAACTTTGCTTGTAGGCTCCGGAAGTCGGAATGACCCTCCTATAGGACACAGAGCCAGTCAGGCGGGAACTCGGACACACACAGATAAGGTCGTCACAGATACCCACCACCATCACCACCACCAGGTTTCTCTTCCTAGTCTTGGCCCACAGGCCTCTTCTCTTTGAAGAACCCACCCTCCCCCCACACACTTTTTTTGTCCAGCTTCCCTGAGACTCAAACCAAATAAACACTAACCAGCTGCCCTTGAGCCATTCCGACTTATGGCCACTCCATGTGCACAGAGTAGAACTGTGCCTCGTACAGTTTCCAAGGGTGACCTTTTGGAAGCAGATTGCCAGGCCTGTCTACTGAAGCACCTTGGGTAGGTTTGAACCCCCAACCTTTCAGCCAGCAGCTGCTTAACAGTTGGCAGCAAGCAGGGACTCCTCCCTGAGCACACAGGCTCCTGTAACTAGGCCCTCCCGCGCCCCACCCCCTCACTGGCAGGATCTGAGCTCCCGGCCTCCCTAGGCTGCTGCCCCCACTGTCCCCCATCAGTGATGATGTCTTCCCAGCATCCCTGACTCCCTCCTCCTCTCACACCCGTCTCCAGTCCCTCCCTTTTCAACTTCCAAATGTATCCAGGATCCAACCACTTCTCACCACCTCCACCTCTGTCACCAGGTCCAAGGGCCTGGCCTCTGTTCCTGGATTATTGTAACAGGCTCCGCCAGGCCCCACCCTTCCCTCACCACCCTGGTCAGACCCCCTCAACCCCTGCCCACAGTAGCCACAGGAAGCCTGCTAGCCGCACCCCCCACCAACAATCCGTCTGCTCCAGTCCTGCTGTGGTCCCTCATGTCCCCGATAAACATGCAGACCTTCCCTCCGGAGTGCCCTCAAAGCCCCTCGGCAAGTCCCAAGGCCTCCCTCTCCCCCATCACCTCCCATCTCAGGGTCTACGAACTGCCCTTCCCCCTTCCCCTCACATTGTCCTTTCCCTCACCTGGGACAGTCTTCCCCACCTGGAAGGACTCTTCCTGCTCCAGGATTTCCTTATTAGAGAGGTCTCTCCCCAGCACCATGTTTTAAATTGGTTCCTCATCACCAGGACTAGGAGTGGGTGATGCAGTTAAATGCTCAGCTACCAACCAGAAGGCTGGAGGTTCGAATCCACCCACAAGGACCTCAGAAGAAAGGTCCATGGCCACTATTTGACGTTCTGGGTGGTGTAAAAGGTTAATGTGTTTGGCTGCTACCCAAAAGGTTGGCAGTTCAAGTCTACCTGGAGGGACCTTGGAAGAAAGGCCTGACAGTCTTCCAGAAAATCAGTCACCAAAAGCCCTACAGGGCACAGTTCGACTCTGACACATGGCGTCCCTGGTCCCTGGAAGTCAGAATTGACTCGACAGCAGCTGGGTTGTTTTCAGTCCCGCCTTGCGTGAGTCTCCCCTTAGCACTTCCACCCTGTATCATGCTGTTTATTTTATGCACTCACACATTTTTTTTTATGTCCTGACAGGTTTTTTTCTTTTTCTCTCTGTCCCTACCCTCCTCCCCTGGGAGAATGTAAGTGCCACCAGGACTAACTGCCACAGACAAATGGATGTGTGCAAAGGGACACACAGACCTGGGGTGAGTATGTGCACACGGCTAGAACATGTCAGAGACACTGGGAGATGATGGGGCACATGCATGAGCTAACACATAACCTGTCCACCCCGGGCACCTGGCCCTGACCCCACACAAGCCTTGGCACGGCTGGCCAAGGAGTGTGGGTGACAAGCTCAGGCAGGCGCCCAAGTAGGGCAGGCCCTCTCTGGCCTACAAATTCCCCCGAGGTGGCCCTGCCTCAGACCCCAACACCTGGCTCCCTGGAGGGTCGGTAAGGCTAGGGGGAGGGGTAGTAACAAAGAGCAGGGGGGAGGGTCTGGCCTGGCCTTCCCTTCACTCTGCCTCACTCTCCTCATTCTGAGAGCCAGGGGGCCAGGAGCACCTCTTGGAAAGGTGAACACCCCTGCCTGGGGTCTGAACTGCCTCTGGTCAACTCCTCTGCTGCGAGGTGGGTGAGGCCAGGACTACTGAGTGACCACAGGGCCCGATAAGTCAGGGTCAGCAGGTCATGACTTGGGTGACAGGGAAATGGGGAGGGGAGGGGATGGTGTGTGACCCACTTACAGGAAGTCCCTGCTCTTGCTCTGGCCTCCTGTGACCAGGTTGCCGCTCATGCTGACCCAGGGGATGGGGAGTGGTTCCAGGCAGTCCCACCTGCCCCCTGCAGTCACGACCCAGGCTGTCCTAGAGAGGCACCCAGCTGCTTTGGGGCCCTTGCTGGATCTCAGCCCCACCCCCAGGCTTTCCACTTCTGGAAGGTGTCCCCCACTCCCTACCACCCCCGACTCCCGCAGATACAGGCTCTCCGGGGACTGAGGACTCACCATAGCCATAGGTGGGTGGTGGATTACAGCACGCGTGGGACCCGCGCTGGGCTGCTGCTTTCAGGAAATGACTGTGGCTTCTGCTCTGGCCAGCACTAGGGGCAGGGGCTGCTGGTGGTGGTAGGGGGAAGGGCAGAGGAGGAAGGAAAGGAGGCGGGACCGCCCCAAATGGTCCTCAGATCCTCTGGGTACCTCTGTCCCCTCGAGTTCCTGTTCTGCCTGCTGCTGCTGTCCCCAAGCCCACCAGAGGCCCTAGCTGTCCTCCTCCTCTGGGCCCCTGCCACGTCCTGGACTCCAGGACTAGAGAGGACTTGGTGCCAGGCTCAGGGCCTTCTACCTCCGCAGAGGTAGGCTGTAGCGGAAATGCAGCCAACGGCGGGAGCCCTCAACAGGGCGTCCTGGGCAGAGAGGGGCGCAGGAAGACCTTGGAGCACAGGGGTCCCTGCAGGCCCAGTGAACTGGGAGGGTGGGTGCTGGCTGAGCTCGCTGCCTCTCCTCCTTGCCTCACTCGCCTTCCCCATTTGGACACCTCCCTGCCCGCCGCTTCCCAACTCAGGGCCAGACTTCCCTGTTACAGTGAAAGGCCAAAGGGCCCAGGTTGCAGATTTGGTGGTGGCTGTGGATGGGCTCAAACGCCCTGCCCGCTGGGGAGGGAGAGAGTCCTGGGATGCTGCAGCCTCCCTCAAGGCTGAAAATGGAACCAGAGGAGACAGAGAGTGACAAGGTGGTGGAGAGGGGCTGCAGGCAACGGGAGGGACTAGCAGAGCCAGACAGAGGCAGGAACTGACCAAAGGGGCCTGTCCCTGGAGGTCAGTGAGTGACCTCGGGGGGTTAGAATCGCTCCTCAAGCGTGGAGTCAATTCTGACTCATGGTGACCCCATGCGTGCACAGACCTGCTCCGTAGGCTCTTCTTGGCTGTAAGCTTTATGAAAATAGACTGCCAGGCCTTTCTTCCACGGCACTACTTGGCTGGGTTTGAACCACTACCGTGTAGGTTAGTTATTGTTAGTTGCCCTCGAGCCCATTGCAATGCCTCATGGCGACTCCACGTATGCACAGAACTGTGCTCCATAGGGTTTTCAAGGCTGGGACCTTATGGAAGCAGATGGCCAGGTCTGTCTCCTGAAGTGCTTCTGGGTCGGTTCAAACTGCCAGTCTTTGGGGGTAGCAGTTGAACACCCCCCATTGACGCCACTCAACCACCTACAGCCCGGGGGTGAGGCTGTTTCAGATGATGCAGGGCTGAGTCCAGTGTGCAGCTATGTTGAGAAGCTGCAGCAAACTTGTTAACACGCAGTCTGCCTCCAAGGTGGTCCTCAGAATCTCCAAGCCAGCAGCCCGGGGGCTGCTGGTCTGTGGACCATTCTTTGTAGCGAGGCTGGAACAAACAGGCAGGGCTTTCCTGGGCATATTTGATGGAGAAGGGTCTGACTGGCACAGGGAAGGCATGCTCGCCTGTCCCGAGGGTGGGGCATCAGCTTTCATCTGCTGCCCTGCAGAAGGGAACACACAGCACCCTTCACTTCCACGTCTGCGCCGAGACCACAGCTTTGCAATTCCAGAGACTCAGGCCAGTCTCCAACCAGTTGGGGGGCCCTCTCCGAACAGGAGCCCCGAGAGGCTCCTCGGGGTCTCCAGCCCCAGCCAGCTGGGGTGGCAAGAGTACTGCACGGTTTGGTGAGTGAAGGGATGCATGAATGAATGAACAAACGATTATTGGCCAACAACATACAGAAAGCATTCAATCAAGGTCATCCAAAGGACTGACAGCTGGTGACTCCCCGCTCCGCCGGCAGGGGCGCCATCGGGCGCTGAGCGCGGCCTGCCCGGTGGGCGGGAACAAGGGCCGGCGCGCAGTTCCGGCATGGCCGTCAGGGGGTGTGTTCCTCCTACACCCTGTTTGTGTTTGTCCTCTTCCCTCTGGACCTGGGGCCAGACTGCGCCGTCGGACGTAGTAAAGCGGTTGCACTTGGTGCTGCGGAATCAGAAGCCCGCAGAAATGCGCGCCCGGCACGATCCGCCTAAAACAGCGGGGTTTCGTTGGGGCGCGGGCCCCGAACTCTGAGGGCTGCGGAGGGGGCTGGGCCTGGGAGATGAGACGCCTAGCGTTCAAGCATGCGCAGAGGGTGCGGGGCAGAAGAGCGCGGAGAGCCGAAGCTGGCGCGCCCAGTCCCTGCGCTGGAGTTCGGGGCCGTACTCGTGGTTGCTTTGGTTGGGTGTGGTGACGGCCGGGGGCCGGGGTCAGCCACCAGTGGTCCAAAAGCACGGAGGCCGGAGCTGGTCTGAGCCCGTGGGCAGCCAATCCTGGGAGTGCGGGAGGAGGGGAGCTGGCGATAGGGACTGGCAGGGGCTGTGGGTGGTCGGGCAGGGGTCCGGGGACGAGCGCCCAGGAGCCTCCGCCTTCCCACGCCCAGCCAGGGATACCCTTGAGGGTAACTAGGGCGGCACCCGCGGTTGACTGAGCTGGTGCTGGGCAACTTCCGGGTTGAGGACTAGCACCCGGACGCTCTCATGGCCGACTTAAGCCGCCTAGAGTGGCCCAGCCCCTGCCTGAGCAACACGAACCTGCAGCCACTGACTGGCCCGCCTGCCCCCGCTGGGCTGTGAAAGGTGAGCGCAGGTTGGCTGGCTGGCGTCTGGACGCGCTAGCCCATAGCCTTCACCCCCTCTGCGGAGAGAGGCTCCTGCGCGTCCCCTGCTGGCGGGGGCGGTCTTGGTGGTTCACGGCTTAGCTAGCAGAAGGGAAGCCGGGTGGACGGGCTTTCCTGAGCAAACATTGCCCGAGAGTGGGGAGGGGCGAGGGCAGGAGGTAGTTTCTGGAGAGGACACGCCGGTAGGTGGAGGCCAGACTCTGACCCCGCACCCAGGGCTGGGGCATAGTTCCAGCTAGTTCCAGAGGACAGCTGGGCGTATTTCCCTCTACGTGGTGATGGGCTGGGGGGAGGGTCTTGGATCAAAGCTTTGACTTTCGGTCTCTCTGGGAAGCTCCCCTAGTGGAGCAGTGGTTAAAGTATTAGGCTGCAAACCCAAAGGTAGGCGGTTTGAACCCATTAGCTGCTCCATGAGAGAATGATGAGGCAGCTTCTGTAAAGATTGACAGCCTTAGAAACTCGATGGGGCAGTTCTACTCCGTCCTCTAGGGACAGCGTAAGTTGGAATCCACTCAATGGCAGTGAGTTTGGAGGGCCCTGAGCAGTTTTGTGGTGGGATGGGAAAATAGTAATTATGTGATAATTATTCAGCAAATAATTACTGAGCACCTGTTGTTGTTAGATGTCGTTTAGTCGGCTCCGACTCAGCGACCTGTGCACAGCAGAACGAACCTCCCCCCCAGTCCTGTGCCAACTCTGTGATTCCTGCAATACCTGAGCCCATGGCTGCTGCCACCGTGTCAATCCATCT